AAGAAGTGACTCATCACTCGATTTATCTTTCGCACGAATAGCAAAATTTCTCTCTTTTATTTATTTTTTTATTACACTTATTTTACAAAAATAAATTCAATAAATTATATTTTATGATTGTTTCAGTCTCTCTTATATCGATAAGTAATTCTCTTCGATTTGCATTTTTTCATGCTCGATGGTCGGCTCGACTTCCGGTGTAATTTCTCGAAAAGCTTGTAATTTTCTATTATCATCCATTAACATTTGTTTCGTGGAAAACAGGTCGATTTATTTAACTCGATATCGTATATATAAATTGCCGATTTTTTCAACAAATTTTGTTCAAGTTTGACAGTCAGCTGTGGAGTAGCTGTCAGGCGCATCGATGACGTGTCGTGAGGAAACAGAAAGTAATGGGTGCTCAGCGGGGGGAGAAGGGGAAGGGAGGGATGTGGAAGTTGCTCGCTCATTCGTACGTTCGTTTTACGTCACTCTATCACTATTTCTTTGTCCGCCACCGTCATCCACCTTGTGCATGACGATTTCTCTTTCTTTTTTCTCTTTTCTCCTCTTTCTTTTGGCGTCGTACATCGATAGCACACAAAACTAATAATTTTGCGAACGCATATGCTGTTTTTCTCATCTTTCTCGAGAAGTCGACTTTATTTTTCGGAAGTTTACCAGACGTCTGAAAAAATTAAGACGCATATACGACGAACACTTAATTTTTCGTGTCTTTTTGTATCGATTACTATTATTAATTTATGAATTATTCATGCAATTGTGCACAATCAAATATAGCTTCAATATTGATTTATCTGCTTATTTATTAATCTTATATATAAGAAAGTTAATATTTTATTATATTAAATTTATTATTTTTTATCGATTAAGAATACTATAAATATTCTGGTAATATCGGCAAATAACGCAGTATATATATATTTTGTCTTGTAGATTTTATGTTAAGAAGATATAAGTTTTTGTACGTATATTTTTTTTCACCAGTAGAATTAAAATTATGAATTTAATCACATTTAATTAATTCCGATATTTTTCGGCAATATTAATAGATGTCCGATAAAAGATAAATTAGTTCGTCAAAGCTCGGAACAAACAGATCGGAACGTTAAAGTTTGCATTTGCAAAATTGATGATTATTCATGGCATGGAAATACCATCCGAGCCGAGTATCTTATTCTAAAGCAACGTAGACGTATTTTTGCATTCATAGATTCGTTTTTTTTCATCTTTTTTTATAGAAAAATTGTTTGTCCGATTATCCTCATCATCAGATATATTATATCACATTTTACAGAATATCGTGTTTTAATATCCGCAAAATTAAAAATTTTGCTCCAAAAGCAATGAACGATTATCTCTTTAAAATAATTGTTTATTGTATTTTTTGTTCGAATTATTAATTATTATTGTTCGTATTGTATTGTATTTTTGCACATTTATAGATTCGTTTTCCTCGTCTTTTTTATATAAAATTTTTTGTTCGATTATCCTCATCATCGCAGATATTATATCGCATTTTACAGAATATCGTGCTTTTAATATCCGCAAAATTAAACATTTTGCTCCAAAAGCAACGAGCAATTATTCTCTTTAAAATAATTGTTTATTGTATTTTTTGTTTGAATTATTAATTATTATTGTTCGTATTGTATTGTATTTTTGCACATTTATAGATTCGTTTTCCTCGTCTTTTTTATATAAAATTTTTTGTTCGATCATCCTCATCATCGCAGATATTATATCGCATTTTACAGAATATCGTGCTTTTAATATCCGCAAAATTAAACATTTTGCTCCAAAAGCAACGAGCGATTATTCTCTTTAAAATAATTGTTATATTTTTTGTTCGAATTGTTAATTATCGTTCGCGCGATATATTTCTGTTATACATCTCCGCTATCGGAATCGACGCGATTTCTTCTCGATTTTCGATATCCTTCGATACTTATGGAAGTGTTCCGAGCCAGTGCAACCGACATTGACTAAATAAGTAAACGATGTTAATCTTGAGGATTGCCGCGCATGTCAAGGATACGCGAGCAAAATCTTTTTTCGGATCGACGAATAGCTAAATAACGGGAATAGCTAAATAACTGTCGACGACCGTAAATATACGCTCGGGACTAGTATTTGCCAAGAATGAAGAAAGGTCCAAGATATACGTATGTGCACGAAAAGGCGGGAGAAACAAAGAAGCCCGGTTTTATGCGCGCATCATCGACTCCTTTATTTAATTATCACGACGAATTCCGACACGTGTGCGTTCGTGTAATCCCGACCTCGCATAGCGATATCCGTCATTGCAGCGTGGCTTTTTTTTCCTTGGCGTATCGTCGCCGAGTCTCCGAGTCGTTAATCACGTTTTTTTCGCGCCACGCGTTTCTCTTTCTAATTAAGAAAATAAAAAAAAATTGTACAAAAAACCGCGTGTCACCATTGACGCAAAATCTTGACGCAATATCTAGGATTTCAGTAGCGGAACAAAATGAACACCGTATATTCGAATAGCATCGTATATCACGTGACAAGTACGTGATACCGCGATGTCGGGGTCTCTCCTTCATTCATTTCTAACTTTACTTTCGAAGTTCGGTTAACGTACATATAAAGCAACTTGTCGCTCATTAACAACCTTTGACGCTCTTATTTAGAGCGGTCTTTCAGAGATCGTTCACATTGGGAAACTTTGCTCCGACGGATTAGTTCTCTTTCTCTCTCTCGTCTTTCTCTCTTATTCAAGCTCGTGTGCCTTGTATATTCACGGATACGTCCGTGAGAGGCCGGATATTTTCATTGCACATTTTTAGCTACGTACATAGTTCATCAAGTTGAAACAAAATATTTAGAAAACGCTATTTCAGTACAAGAATCTTTTTATTATACGTTTTTAGCAATTTTTTCTCTAATCTTCAACCAACATTTTAATGTTAAATTATTATTAGCTTATTATTGAATTAAAATTGCATTTTCTCGCTATAAAATGGATTCTAAATCACCAGTCGTCTCGTAAATAAAATATTTGGACCTATTCGAAATATTTATAATTTATTTAATTTCAAGAAGTTTCTTATTTTTCTTTTTTAAATATAATTATATACCTCGCGTGTTATCAATTATTTCTATTGATCATCTCGTAAATAAAATATTTGGGCCGATACAAAATATTTATAATTTATTTAATTTCGAGAACAGATGTCCTTGACGTTTATTTTTAAATGTAATTATTGCTCGCTTGCTTCGCGTGTCATCAATTATTTCTACCGATCATCTCTTAAATAAAATATTTGGGTTTATTCAAAATATTTATTATTTATTTAATATCAAAAGAAATCTTTAGTTTCCATATTTAAATATAATGATTGCTTGTGTATACTTCGCGTGTCATCAATTACTTTTATTGATTATCTCGTAAATAAAATATCTGCGCCTATTCGAAATCTTTGTAATTTATTTAATTTCAAGAAGTCTCTTTGCTTTACGTTTTTAAATACAATTATTGCTCGTAATTATGTTGCGTGTCGTCAATTACTTTCATCGATCACCTTGTAAATAAAATATTCGGGCCTATTTGAAATATTTATAATTTCTTCAATCGCAAAAGAAAACAAAGTCTAGTTTTCATCTTGATATATAACGATCGCTCGCATACTTCGCTTATCAATTACTTCTATTGATTTTTCCAAGCCGTCCTCTAGCCGAGTGCTCGCGGACACCCGGTAGACGCGACCGGACGGGCACGACCTCCGTCGAACAGGCCGACGAAGTCGTCCGACCTCGGCCGAGCAGCGGCGAGGTCTGCGAGATGATCAGTCGCGGTGAAACGAGGGAGGGAGAGGAGTCAGGAGAAGAGGGTTCATTGACCGTCTGACCATGAGCCGCGCCCCACATACGCTCCCCTTCGACATTCCCTCTCGTCCGTGGGTCGTTTCGGTCGTTTTGTTCTCGAGCAGCGAGCAAGATCAAAGTCGTCTCTCTTCCTCGGGAAGGAAGGTCCTTGCCTCTCGTCCGCGGAAGGCCTTTCGCGAAAGGGTGTGTACAGGGTGTTCGGGGAAAAAGGATCAACCGCGAGGGTCCTCCGACCTCGGAACGGTTTTTCCTTTTAGCGAGAGAGAGAAGTTCCCGAGGAGAGGTCATCGGGTTTTTGCGATCTCGACCTGTCACTCGATGATGATAGACTCGTTTCTATGACTTCTGATGGAAAAAGATGCGACTCGAAATGATCATCTTAAACGCACAAAGACGACTCGATTCGCGAAATACCATGTCTCCCATTATGATTCTATCCTTGAACTACTTGGTCGAGTACGTTAACCGAGTAGGATTTGCGTGCGTCGTTTATTGAACGCGCACAAAGTAGAGAGCCTTCTCTAAAATTGCGCTCGCATGCGCAATTACATTGTAAAATTTTATATATATATATATATATATATTATATGGGTCACTGTAGCGTGACGAGAGGAATGCTCTCAAATTTTATTGAACGAGTTCATTGCGATGCTACATCATCGCTGGCAGAAAGCGATAGACTGTCTCTTTTTTTTAATGAAAAAGAAAGATTGACCAAGGTTGCATGCATGCTTTAAGATTCGAAATTACGTATTTCAAGTGTAGACTAATCTAGGTGTTTAATCTTTATGCTTTGCGAGCACACTTATTAGGAAATATTATCTAAAGAAAAAGACAATAAAAATGTAGAATAAATGAACACCGAAATACATATACATTTCTTTTGTAATTATAAAAGTTGCAGAAGAGTGTACAATATAATAGATATAATAGTTTAGCGTTTTTATTTATCTATATTTAATGCATTTAAGCGTGTTCGAGAAATATAACTTAATTTCATATAATTCTTGCAGCTTCCTCAAGGAAGATCTGTGTGCTGTGATTTATCACTAAGGGGGCCAAAACACGCGCAACAACGGACAACCCCACAGGACCGGGGGGTGCTTCTCGTGTCTCGGGAGGAAGGTCAGGATCCAAAAAGTTACTTTGGCAGTAACGAAAAAAAAAAAAAAAAAAAAAAGAAACGCGAGAACGCGTTATATATTACAACAAATAGTACGCAAAATCGTCCCTGCGTTGCTACTTGCGTGTTGACACTGACATTAGAAAAATTCGATGCCTTCCAGGGACGATATTCGCTCCCTATCCACTGAGCAACGCTGGATCCCTCCTTCAACTGTTAGACGCGATGCACTCACCCCAGAAAGCCGAAATGATCTCATCTTTAGAAAGGTGCGGGGTATTCTTAACAAGCTCACACCGGAAAAATTCGCAAAGCTGAGCAACGACCTGCTCAACGTTGAGCTTAATTCTCATGTGATTCTCAAAGGTGTTATTTTCTTGGTACGTATTGTTATGTCGCGACGTAAAGTTACGACGCTTATCGTATAAGATTTTGATGCTGGTTAATTAAAAAAATATGAATAAAAATTTTTCAGATCTTCGAAAAAGCGCTTGATGAACCCAAGTACAGTTCTATGTACGCACGGCTGTGCAAACAGCTGTCTGACGAAGCCGCAAACTTTGAACCCCGTAAACCAATCGATGAAAGTCAAAAAGGCCAGAGCACATTCAGAGTCCTTTTACTTAACAAGTGCAAAGACGAGTTCGAAAATCGTTCAAAAGCAAGCGAGGCGTTCGAGAATCAGGATGAGCTTGGTCCAGAGGAAGAAGAGCGCCGGCAGGTGGCCAAGCGCAAGATGCTCGGTAACATCAAGTTCATCGGGGAGCTCGGCAAGCTGGGCATCGTGTCGGAGCCGATTCTACATCGTTGCATCCAGCAGTTGCTGGAGAAGAAAAGGCGAGGGGGATCCCGGGGGGACGCGGCGGAGGATATCGAGTGCCTCTGTCAGATTATGCGTACCTGCGGCCGTATCCTTGACTCGGATAAGGGCCGCGGACTTATGGATCAATACTTCAAACGTATGAACTCTCTGGCAGAGAGTAGGGATCTTCCTCTACGCATCAAATTTATGCTGCGTGATGTAATTGAATTACGCCGTGACGATTGGAAACCGCGCAAGGCCACCAGCACCGAAGGCCCGATGCCGATTAATCAGATCCGCAACGACAACGAGGAGCCATCGCGGGGTAATGGTTTCCATAGAGGACGAGAGGATCGCCTCGGTGCGGAGTTTTTACGAAAGATGGGACGAGGCGGATTAGACGTGGACATGATAGGAAGTATTCCATTGACTTCCCCCTCATTCGGTATGGCACCACCACCACCATTCAGTCCGAATGGATTTGCAGGAACTCCTGGGGTTGGTTATGGCCGCCATAATCAACGTAATCAGCCAGGAGCAGGCTATTATCAAAACCAGAGTCGTCATCAGAACAATTTTGAAGGAAAACGCAACCAGCCACAACATAATCTACCGCAGAACTTTAACAACAGTGAGTACACAGATGGAGTGAATTCTTTTTTTTTCTTTTATTAACCGATCGATATAACGATGACTTTTACTGATACTTATACTTTATACTTGTTATTTTGTACCATTGCAGATAGCAATAAAGAACAACTTCGATTCAATAAAAATAAGATGTTGATCGGAGGACATCCTCAGGAAGAAGTGTCTCTGAGACCTTCGGCCAATTCAATGATGTTCAAACAGACTAATATCAACTTGAACCTACCTCTCAACAATGGTAAATATCCGCGTTCGCATCATTATTTTAAAAGTAAAATTGTAAAAAAATTAAATCTAATAATAATATTCAGCGATTTTCGGATCTATATTTTTCTCTTGCATTCATTTATTTATTTTCCGTGGGGGGGTTAAAGGGGGTATTGAAATTAAATCTCAAATATGAGATTATTTCATATTTTAAAATCTTGGCCGTGTCCAAGTAAAATTTGGTGCCTTGTGCACCGGTATTTAATTCTAACGGAAAATTATTTAGTTTCGTTAGGATAACGCATTGTCATCCGCGATTTGGCTCTTGTTGCCCGTCTTATACGTTAAATTTATATTTATATTACGGAGCCTTGTTAAAACTCTTATATTGATACACGCTGGCTTAAAAATGCGTTTGTTTACCAACATTAATATATATAACAGAGAAAAGTATAGAATCGAAAGGATCTGAATAGCTCAGCTGGAAGAGCAGTCGCCCGGCAAGCGAAAGGTCTCGGGTTCGATTCCCGATTCAGCGATTTTCGGATCTATATTTTTCTCTTGCATTCATTTATTTATTTTCCGTGGGGGGGGGGGGGGGGGTTAAAGGGGGTATTGAAATTAAATCTCAAATATGAGATTATTTCATATTTTAAAATCTTGGCCGTGTCCAAGTAAAATTTGGTGCCTTGTGCACCGGTATTTAATTCTAACGGAAAATTATTTAGTTTCGTTAGGATAACGCATTGTCATCCGCGATTTGGCTCTTGTTGCCCGTCTTATACGTTAAATTTATATTTATATTACGGAGCCTTGTTAAAACTCTTATATTGATACACGCTGGCTTAAAAATGCGTTTGTTTACCAACATTAATATATATAACAGAGAAAAGTATAGAATCGAAAGGATCTGAATAGCTCAGCTGGAAGAGCAGTCGCCCGGCAAGCGAAAGGTCTCGGGTTCGATTCCCGATTCAGCGATTTTCGGATCTATATTTTTCTCTTGCATTCATTTATTTATTTTCCGTGGGGGGGGGGGTTAAAGGGGGTATTGAAATTAAATCTCAAATATGAGATTATTTCATATTTTAAAATCTTGGCCGTGTCCAAGTAAAATTTGGTGCCTTGTGCACCGGTATTTAATTCTAACGGAAAATTATTTAGTTTCGTTAGGATAACGCATTGTCATCCGCGATTTGGCTCTTGTTGCCCGTCTTATACGTTAAATTTATATTTATATTACAGAGCCTTGTTAAAACTCTTATACTAATAATAATAATTGTGTATATTTTAATTGTAAAAATAACAGATATGTTCCCAGGACGAGGCTCAGATATGCCTCTCTTGCGTACTACCGCTCTGAAGCCCAGCTCGCCTCTATTGCACAAAGAGACACCACCTGCTATCGTGATCAAGCAAGGTCCCGTAGACAAGCGCGAGAAGGCTCGGGATAGAAAAGATAAGGGACCCACAAGGGAGGAAGTGTTGAAGAAGGTGAACGCGTTAATGGACGATCTCGCGTCTCATACAAATGTGCAGGACGCTTTGACAGCCTTTAAAGATCTTAAGATCCCCGAGCGATTTTTGCGTCATGCGATCTGCACGATGTATTCTAACACGTTGGATCGCGGAGACTCCGAACGCGAGCTCGCCGTCAAGCTTGTGGTCGAGCTGAAAAAGGAGAGCTTGCTCACTTTGCAGCAAGTGAATGAGGGATGGAAGGAACTGGTGGCCAGTATATCGGAGAAGGAAAGTACCGTGCCTTTGGTAGCGTCCCACGTTGCCTTCCTGACAGCTAAGGCCATAGCGGAAAATTTAATTCAGTTGACGGATCTCGCCTCGGAAACAGAAAACGGTCGTCATCATCCGCTGTTCCTATTGACTCTACAACAGCTCCACAAGACCCAAGGCAAGGCAAGGCTCACGCAGATCTTCAATGATAGCAAAGTGGATCTTATTAGTCAACTGCCAGAAGCGGAGAAGACAAAGGAGCGCTTGGGCGAGATCTTGGAAGACCGGGAATTGACTTTCCTTTATCCTCTTCTCAGAATCCAGGGAGATATGTGGCGTCAATTAGAAGCCGATCCAGCGCCTAATGCTCTTTACAAATGGATCAAGGAGAAGTTGGATCCTCAACATCATTCTGATCCTGCATTTATTAATGCTATGATGAATGTACTTTTCAAATACATCACTGGGGTTAGTGACTTATTCAATATCTCAGTCTTCTATCGTTGTTGCCTCGTTAAATAATAAAAGATAATGACAAATTATTTTGTAAATTTAAATAATTATATTTATTAGTAAAAGATTTATTTTTATGTAGAGAGTAAAATTTAGTTGGTAAATTATAATAAATAATTTGCTTTTCTTTTTTGGGGGGGAAAATAATAGGAGACAACATTGGCGCCTGGCGTCGATCCGACCGTAAATCCAGACAAACAACTGCAAGAAAAGGAAAGTGCGTTACTGCAGAAATATGCACGCTTTATTCGCACATTCCTAACTACCATCGACTCTCAAGTTACGGCTCTTCATGCGCTTCAAGTGTTCTGCTTCTCGCACAATTTTCCAAAAGGGTTGCTGCTGCGATGGTTCATAGCACTGTATAATCTTGAAGTCATCGAAGAAGAAGCATACCACAAATGGAGAGACACCGTTACCGATGCTTATCCTGGCAAGGGCAAGGCATTATTTCAGGTGCAGTATCATTATAACAATTTTTTTATAAATATTCTTTGTCCGAAGATTCTTTTCTTATCATTGAGATTTTTGCATAGTAAATTTTACTATCATCTCTCTCTCACTTTCTTTCTCTAAACGAATTTTTTATTTCGTTTTATGATAGATTAGTTTTATATTATGAATACATTGTTAATACCATGCAGTATGTGTAAATTTTTTCTGTAATTTTATTTCACAAATTCTCTCAAATTTATAATATTTTGATAAACTTCGTCATTTTATTTTATGTAAAAATTAATGTAAGCATATTTATGTTACTTATATAGGTAAATACATGGCTAACATGGCTTGCTGAAGCATCGGAGGAGGAGGAGGAAGACGACGAGGATGAGAAGAATTAATTGGAAGAGCCTCGAGAGCATTATTCTACAGACCTATGATTTGGAATAGGGTTTTACTATCTATAATATATCGCTGAACCGCAAAAGGTTTCAGTTTTATTAATTGAGTTATCTCCATCCAGAATTGCAAACATCTTGTTAGTCTGTCTCAAGCCCTCACGTGATTGAAAAGGACTTTACAATCATGTCTGCAAAAAGGAAAAGAGTTTGTAACCAATGAGTGGTGTATGACAGACGTTTCAAGCAAGACGTTTTAGAATTTTTTTAGATAATTAAAAAAAATATATCGGTACATAATTTATATTATAAAATAATATTGGGCCAGCACAGATACAATCGAGATACTACGCCGCTGTATGATTATTGGTGCGGGAAGAAAAAAAAAGCGCGAGAGAAAATTAATCTGGTCATTTTTGTTACTCGAGTTTTTGTCTAGTATTGTGCATGTGTCACGTTTTGTAAGTCTTTTTGTCCGCGGCAATAAGTGAAGTCGTTTGTTATCTCTGTGTACCAAGCATTACATTTATTATGAGGAATTATTATTATTATCAATTATTAATATTATTATATTATTATTATACATAATTATCAATCCAATAATCGAAATATATCTACATCTTTCTAATGAAAAAAAAAAAAAAAAAAAATCAGAATTAATCAGGAACAAACGGTCGACTCAGTAGTGTACGCAAAATGCAAACCGTGAAGCACTTTCTTTTCGAAACGGAGTAATATATTTAAATTGCGATTTAGAGAGACAGTTAAAAATGATCGAAACTAAAGGAAAGAAAAAGGAAAAAGTGAATACACCGTTTGCCTGTGTATCTACTTGCAGCGTCACTTGATTCTTAATAAGTAAATAATTAATTACAGTTATAATAACAACCAGCAGCCAACATCACATCCATTTAACATTTAATAATTAGTGAACACTAGTGACACGACTAAAACTCGTATTTAAAAGAAAAAAAGAATAAAATATGCCTTGGTGTAATTTATTACAGATGGCCCCCTGGTTGTTGCATTGATGACCAATTACCTTCACCTTACATTTCCTGCCTTATATACGCTACGTTTTTTTTTTAATATCTCGCTCAATCGCCGCCAAATAGCAAAAGATCAGTATGCGCGAGTTATGCGAAAAAAAGACAAGCACGTGTTACTGATCGAAATGAGCGGATAGAGAGCCAGATACTGAGAAAAAGAGAGAGAAAGAGAGCTGCTGTATTTCCCGAATGTGACCGTCGCCGATTAAGATTACAAGATAACTTGAAATAACCTTCAGACCGGCTTAAAAAGGACGTCAATAATTAAGCCAAGAAGCTCTGCGTGATAATTAAAAATGTATTGCGCGTCGTAATTTTTTCTTGTTTTTTTTTTGTTTTGTTTGAAATCGTTCCAGACGCACTTGTGTAACACATCTTTCACGTGTACATTTCAATCTTTTTTTTTCTCTCTGCAACAACTGATAATTAAATACTCTTTTATCGTACTATTAAAATCGTGCGATTAAAATATTAAGAATTTGAATACAGTTTTTGTTGTCATATTTTATCTTTACAAAATATTGTACATACGTATATATATATATATATATATATATACGTATATATATATATATATACACATATATATCTTTTGATGCCTCATGGTCTTTACCTAATTTTACCGCCGGACTGAAGTGTTTTTTTCCTCTTTAAAGACAGCGTTGTTTTATAATTAAAAATATTAGGTGGTTTATACCGAGCGTCGTCAGTTAAGAGTAATCAGTATCGAGTAATTACTTACTGTCGACCGTGTTAAGTTTATTTTTTTTTTCGTCGAATATCATACTGTCATCCGGTACGTATTATTTAATCAGAGTTTGACGGCACACAAATATACATACACATTAAGTGCTAATGAGAATTATCTTGCAGCTGAAGCGGTATATGATAAGTAGAACGTTAAATGCGTTAGTGTTCGTTTGAGCGATATGTACCAGCGTGTATGATTATGTCATCGTTTTTTTTTACATAGTTTCGAAAAAAATACATAACATTTGCGAAGATTTAATCGATTCGATCAAATTAGAGACTCGAGTTTAATCTTCGCACATGAAAGAGAATTAAAGGGAAAAAAGAAGAAAATATTTATTACTACATTATTATTGTAATACGTTAATGGACATACATTTGTACTGTATAATTACGTGTTTAAAAGCAGGTTTTCATTGTATACGTATACATATATACACGCACGGAATATATTCCGCTTCCTTCCGGTTCAGGGAAGGTTTCCGAGAGAGTGATGATGCCGTACCTTTCAATTATGTTAATTTATTTTCTCACGCATGTACACACAGCTCTTTGAATTTAATATACACACACATAATAACTGATGAATCCATGTATTGCATCTTCAGTATTATTTCACGTGTAATGAGAATTATATACGTTATGTAGAGAGATCTTTATAGTTTCTCATAGGATGCTAAAAAGAATCTGATAAATCCGTCATCTTTTATCTCTGTCAATAAAAAAAACTGTGTTCCTAGGACGATGCATTCTTTATGATTGCGTGATAATCGCCATTCCTCACCTTCATATCTTTGGAACGTGAATGAAAATGCAACGATAATTATATCTCTTTATCTTCTTTTTTTTTATCAGCGACTGCAAAGTGTTCTACACAGTGTATCTTATCGTGCGTGAAATGATTACTTGATTACACGATATCAAATAACGAAACAGATATAATTGTTAAGAAAATCTGGTTGAACAATCTTCAAAGAAATGTAATACTTACCTTACTGCTTATTACAAGTCGTAAAAAAGAGAAGGCGATTGAAGTTTATGCTTCGCATAAATCAATGGACGGTAGCTTTAACTGCGTAATTGCAATAAGCATACGTTATGCAAATTAAAGTCACACAATTCAATAACAAGAAAAATCTTGAAGAAAAAGAATAGTCATTCCTTAGATTTATCTCGATGCTCAATACGAATGATCAGAGAAAGGTTTTCCCTACTCGTCACACATTTTGAATAGAAAAAGTGCCTCGTTTGTCTCGTTCAAAATTGTATTATCGAAAAATGTTTATTAAAATCGTCCGACGATTTAATTACGAAAATCTTATTAATTTTAATCGCTTCATAAAAAATCAATGTATTTCATTTGGAGCGAAATAAATTTTTTCAACGCATATCGAAGTTGTAACATAAAGTAAAAATACTAATTTTAAATTTCTAAAAAATGTGATAAAGCATCTCGTAGGCTCTGGCGATTGTATTCAGCATCAGCAAGAAACTGCATGGAATAATTATTTTTCTTTCCTGGATTTCTTTTTAATCGAACTGTTACAAAAAGCGGCTTTGTAAGAATGAGGTACAAGTATCACGATTCGAACAAGTTCACATTTTTATTATTATCATTTTCGGAAAGTTAAACTAAAGACATCGTGAGACATAATCAACATATATCTCACGCGGTCGCATTAAAATATCTCTGTAAAATCATTCTTTCTGACTTTATATCCGTGAATGAACACAAAGCGTTTTATTCGCGCTACACGTTTTCTTTTGCACCGATTGTGAGGATGTGTGATGCTATTAAAATATATATCGCAAAGTCGCCGCAAAATAAGTGTGTGTGTGTGTGTGTATGTCTATATATTTGTGTGCTGAATGTAGAGCAAGTGTATATGTACCGTTTCCCTTTCGTTTCGATTGAATGGCAGTGATAGAAATGGATATCTCAAATTCATGCACATATATATATATTCGACTGTCAGATTTATACTTGTATGTACTTTGCGTACAAGGTGTCCCGGAAGCGGATTGGAATTCCAACGATGGATTCTAATCTGTTTTCAATGAATGATAGTGACGTGAATAATCAGCAAGAGTGGAGATGACGGATCCTTGCTCTGACATTTTTACGATTTTGTTTTCAATTTATTGATTTCGATGGAATCTAGTATCGATTAGAATCCAAGCCGCTCTCATTCTCCGGACCAAACACACTCCAGGTGAAGTTCCCGGATGACTGGTTAAGTGATACCGCTTTTGTCTTTTTGTCCAAATGAAATTTTTATTAAACACGGTTTCTCTGTAACATCGAGGACGAATTATAACATAAATAATCATCGTCGATCAGTATCACTTTTTCGTGCTCAACAATGAGTCTATTAGTAACACTGGAAGATAATAGAGTTTGGGGATTCGGGCGAGGGTGGATGGGGTGGTGGTTTCTCTTTCTCTCTGTTCCCTCTGCCAGGTGCATCTATCTTTCATTCTCTTTTCTCTCGTATACTCTTTCAATCACTCTTTCTCTCTCTCTCGCTCACACATACGCATCCTTCCATTATACATATTGAATAATTATCGTTCATTCAGCTACACGAGGTTTTGGTATACAACAATACCTCTAACCTAATCTAGCCTAAATTGTAATTATCGTAGCGTGAAGCATCGTGGTGGTATGTATATACATCACACGCGCGCGCACAACTATAATTAAATCCCGGATTCGTTTTTTGACTCGATATATATAATCGATTTTGTGTGCTTTTATGCGTTATATAGTAAAATACAGGAAAAATTGGGGGAGATGGGGGAAGAAAGATATAATTTGGCGATTAAAATTTTTTTAATGTGCCTGCAGTTTGTTCGTAAAGCGTAAAGTGATGTTTTCGAAAATTGCGTTCCTATTAAAAAAAAAAAAAAAAAAAAGAAAAGATAAACAAACCACCACCACCGCTCCCCGGTTCGCTCGTGCATTATATTTCTTTTTTATAGCGACGCGTTGATTTTATGGACGCGCGCGAATTTCCGGAAAATTTCCTAAACTCTTGCCGTTTCCTTCCTTCGTTTTCTTCCTCGACGAGAACGTCGAGGAATCTATTATACGTTTCCGGTGATCTTACGACACATGTATAGGTGTATTTTCGAGGCGAAAACAGTGTTGTTAATGACTCCTTTCTTTGACTCGTTTACATCCACTTCTTCAAAATTTATCGATTTAACTCTCTGGATGACATCTCGCACCTTTCCTGCCGAAAATGCGCCTATACATCGAGCTTGTTTCTCTTAGGTAGAAAATACTGCACAGTCGAAAAAAATGGCAAGCGGGCGTTTCTCTTTTTGTGTTTATTTAAATTCTTCGTGTCTGTCAAAATTTCGGGGAGAGGTGATGCTCGAAAGATCGCGACACACGCGAGGGATGCGATCGTCAGCTCCCAATCGACAATCCAGCCTACGCGTTCGTCAGCTGATCGGTTGTCATCAGTTGAAATTTTGATCGGGACGAGTATTGAATTTTGTTTTTTTTCTCTCTCTCTCTCTCTTTTAAACGCCCACTCGCCTACACTGAACGAACTTAATATGGAATGTACAAATTATTTTTCGTTTACACATGCCTCGTTATTATCGTATATATAATAACTTCTCTCTTCTTAGGTAATCATCGATTTCTCGCCATTATAAGGTAGTATGTTTGTCCCTCTTTGTGTATGTATGTTGTGTGTATGTGTGTCTACTGGTACACGTACGGTGTTTTTATACGATTTAACGCAAGCTTTTTCACATCCCCGTTACTCCATTGACATACGATGACGTTTCTTTCCTCTCACAGTGATGGAACTAATATATGTGTCTAATGGACCGGATAAAAAAATCGCACGTTTAATCGAATGTCGACCGCTGGCCTTTGCGGCTTCCGCAAACGATTAAACGGGACTTTTTTCTCGTCTCTGGTCTCTCGTATCGTTGTCGATGAATAACCGTGAAAATGTGAAATTTCGCCGCGTCCAGCAGCCTCTCAATTGACTTAATACTATCGTGTATGTATACCTGTTGATCAACTACTATTCGCATTCATACTTTTTTTTCTTTTTTTTTTACCAAAGTTTCATCGATCATTCTTTTATTAATTTTTTGTTTTCAACTGAACAATCTCCGTCCACGCGAGATCTTGTCCGGTACAATTGCACTCTCTCACTCTTTCTTTCTTCCTATCTCTCTTTATTATATTACGCCGTTTTATCACGCGCGATTCGCGTGTCGCCTACACTTACTCGTACATATTCCTATCCCGATGATATAATTTCATTTCTTTAGAGTTTTTCCATTTTTTTTATTCTCTTACGTGATATTTATTCGCGTACCTGCCGTTTCGCGATTGCATTTAATATATATATTTATATATATATAATTGTGCTAAATATTCTTTTATCAATAACTGTTTTCTTTTATACACTCAAGTAGAGCCGATTATTACTTTAACTGGTAATTCAATATCGTAACTAAGCTACAAATGATGATTACTATACAGTGAAAGAGAAATGTTCGACAATGGGATCAACATGGGAGATCTTTTCTCTCTATACATATATGTATGCAATTTGTATTTCCCTGTCGACTGTTCTTCATTTTTCTTTCCATCTTTCTCAGCTATACATTCGCTTTTTTCGCATATCGCAGCGTCATTGCGCATCGATGTCGCGAAATCAATAGAATGTCGGGCGCATTTCTCGATCGTCGAATATAATTATACGATTTGTGTGAATGAGTAATGGCGTTGTGGTGTGTGGTTACAAATGTTCGGACGCTAAAGATAGATCGATTTTCATCGAGTTTACGATATTACAGGAGAGAAGGAACGCGCAAAGAGATGAACCGAGAGATGGTATAAGAAGTAGATAGGTATGCATGGAGTAACGTGAGTTAAGTAAAATGTCGAAACAAATTTTTTTTTGTTTAGCATAATAGTAGTTCGGGGAGCGCTGTTGGTTGCAGGCGACATGTCTTGCATGGAGCCATGTGGCAGGTAGTAGAATGCCGTTACTGACCGTTTACTTGGTGTATAGGTAGATGGCGACGATCAGACCGTAGAGACCTAACACTTCGGCGAAGATTAGAATTAAAATCATACCGACGAAAAGACGAGGTTGCTGAGCAGTGCCTCTCACACCAGCATCACCGACGATACCAATGGCAAATCCGGCAGCTAGACCGGAGAAGCCTACGGCCAAACCGGCGCCCAGGTGGGTGAAACCCCTGATGAGCAAGAGTAAAAATTATATTAATTATGGATTCGTTTTCTCTCTCTTTAATTATAAGCGATCATGTGTGTAAGAAGTGAATTATTGTTATATTTTTTTCTCAAGTTTTTGCAACTATATTAATGTTCTAGTCTATTGAAAGAAATTGAAAAGCAGCAGATTTATTGTATAAAATGTAAGTGATGTTAGATGAAGAGATACGTACGTGTACAGGTCGTATTTAGGGACCTTCTCAAGATTGCCAGCAATGAGCACAGCCACTACAAGACCATAAATGGCAATGATACCTGCCATGACAACAGGAATGATGGATTTCATGATTAATTCTGGCCTCATGACAGACATGGCTGCGATTCCTGTACCGGCCTTCGCTGTGCCATATGCTGCTCCTAGAGCTGTAAAATAAAATTAACATGTTACTTGTGTATTGTTGCAAAAATTTGATAATTATTGCGCTTTGCATGTGCACACGCTTACAAGTTAATATTTCATTTCATGACTTAATAATTAAATTTGAAAAAATTATGTGAATTTAATCAAATTAAATATGTTAGATATAATGAAGCAATCATTCGTTTTTATCAAATTTAGTATCAATTTAATAAGCCAACAATACGTCTGTCTTCAAACAAAATCCAGATAAAATTTTCTTCTATTAACAAATTTAATAGAAATTTATTAATAAACGTTTGATATATACATATATATGTGTGTGTGTGTGTGTGTGTGCAAATGGATGTCATCCGACATGTATTTCAAGCGAAATACGCGATGAATTCACTTTTAGATCCCGTAAAACTCCGCGCGAATTTAACTCTTCGGCCGAAGAAAGTCGCCTAAAAATGTCTCGTTAAAAGCGTAAGCATCGTAAACTCGTGGTGCAGTTTTTATTCTCTTTTTGCGCGAACGCACTGTGCATTTCTTGGCGGTTTTAGCCGCCAAGAGCGTGCAAGTGGATTATCGATCGAGCCAGTTGCGGCCAGTCTCAAAGCGGACGAAAATAATTTTCATCCCGTGTCATCATTTCCGCCGAAAGCGCACGAGACGCCGAGGTCCATTTAAGAAAAAAGAAAAAAAAAAATCCTCGCGAAAATTTTGGACGAAATACGAAGAATACCGCAGGCGCGACAGGTATCTTTTTTACGGATATACCCAGCCCAGCTCTGGAAGTTTGCAGTCACATGATTCTCACGTTGGCAGTCACATGATAATCAAGTCCCATCCCGTGAGTAGAAAGAAGGGGGGGCGTGGCTTTTATACGAGAGGCACGCGATCGTGCATTCTTATTCTTCAAAAATTCTAGCTCTTTGTACGCCCTTAATTATACACCGATCACGAGTATCAAATTCGCCGATATAATGACGAGCCTATTCGCGCTATCGCCGCAATATGCACCTTATCATACGTAAATAAACGTTATGGATGTTCGCGTAAGTCGATCTCGCTGCCCGATTTACGCGAAGCGTTTCTGACAATGAGCCAATAAATGAGTTTCCTCATGTTTCTGTTTTTTAATTAAACTTTGCGGGAAGAAAAAAGCGCGAGCAATTTATTTTTCCATTAAGCTTTCTGGTAGGAAAACGCGAGCAATTAATTTGGATGAGACATGCATTCTCGCTGGCCAATAATAATTATCGCGCCGACTTGTACGACTCTGCGAAGTAATTCTAAAGTGAAATAAATCTCGCAAAAAACGATTCAAGTAAATGAACGGCGAGGAATAATCAATCGCGGCGGCGTCGTTGGAGAACGAGGTAATCGATGATGCGATCGATGCGTTTCGGGGAACAGATGACGAAGCGTTCGTTCATACGTGCGATATACGCGATTGTATCCCTATTGAGAAAAGCGTCGAAGGCGCGTGTACGGGAAAAGGTATTGATCTTCCCGGAGGTATAAGCGACGCTCGCGGCGATCCCGGAGGGTCATAGTTTACCGCGAATTCGGGGAAAATCGTTAATTGTCGAATCGATACGTCCTCTATCGCGCGGGATGGATATTTCCTTTCCGCGAAAATCGATCGATTTTTTTTCCCCTTTGCGCCGATCGATCGAAACTCGTGTCCGGGATGACCGAGACGTAACGAGAGGAGAGGTGGGAAGGTGTAGAAAGTGCAGGTGAGGAGGATAAATCGTCTCGTGACTCGTGACACGCACGAGGCGCACGCCCGCGAATAATATTCCGTCCTCGTTCTCTATCTCTCTCTCTCTTTTTGTCGCTTTTCCGAGACTGGCAAAATTCTAGCGGCGCGCCGGCGAGGTCAGCAATTACGAAATAAGCTCTCTGCGCCCGAACTCGCGAGACCGCGAATAAAAATAATATGCGTGTGATCCGTGAAGGAAACGATCGCGAGGACCTTCCCTTTAAACGCGAGAATATACGAGGCGAATAAAAGAGAAAGAGAGAAAAGGAAATCGATCTCTCTCAAGTATAGAGGGGCGGGAGAGATTCTGATTTCCTCTCCGCGCGTGACACGATAAGATAAGAGGGCCGCCGAAAATTTCACGCAGCCTCGTCGAACGTCGTCGACGTATGTGCGGGGGAACGTCACGCGTTTCCTCTCGTGGCACATGACGTTCGTCGCGGAAGAGGCCGCGAGGCGAGAGCCGCCCGCTGGAAAACGTTCCTCTGCGACGAGGATCGATAATCCGCGCGCGCCGCGCTGCCCGACGAAGGATTTTTCGTCCGTCTTACGCCGCTCGAGAAAATGGCGTGGGACATATGTATATCGTGCCGTCATCCTCGTCGTTGTCGTCGTTATCGTCGTTGTCGACGTCGATGACGACGAGAATGCTGGCAGCGGAATCCAAGTATGTGTAAGAGCGTTGAAGGCCTTCCTCGTCGCCTTCGCGAATTCAGCGAGCGAGATCGCGAAGGCGTCGCAAAGGCCGAACGGTGGACGGAAACTCACCAGAAAATATGATGGCAGAGGCGGCGCCCATCACGCCGAAGAACGGCCCGTAAATCGGGGCTTCTTCCGTACTCATTCTGACTCGATTTGTTGGGTCTCTCGTCGGTCGAGATGGATCCGCGGGGATATTTACAGGTTCTGCCGTGCGGCGAAACGGTTCCGTCGAACGTAAAACGATGTTCACGTCACTCACGTCGCTAAACTAGTGGGCCACTGTCAAATATGGCCTACCGGAGTACAGTGGCGCGGGTCATGTGACGAGTGACGAGGAGAGCGCTCAACGGCGGCGGCGTGTCGCCGCGTACTCGCGCCGGGATTGGTCGACGCCGACCGCCCGCGGGCCAATCGGCTCGCGCGTCTCATCCCCGCCAGGCGGCGCGCCAGACGCCGATTGGCCGCGACCGCTTGGGCGCTGCGAGCGCGTGACCCGCGCGTTTTCCCCTCGCGCGATTTTCGTCCGCGCGATATTATTCCGCCGATCACGGGATGTCCGCGAGCGGATGTCTCGCGGGATTCAGGGCGACTTCTCGCGAGACAGGCACATGACACCGCGTGTTTCAACTGCCTGTATCAGCTGAGTGATTACGTGTGCGAAATTTCGAAGAGTAGGCATATTTATAATTTTTATTTTTATGAAATTTTTTTGGAGCAGCAAGACACGTATGGGGAAAATTCTCTTGAGAAATGTGTCTCGTTTTGTCCCGTTTTGTCTTTCGAAGAATAGAAATGCCAGAGTAATTTCTGATTCAACGCTCGTATGCATATCCTTGACCTAATTTTATACTCCTTCTCTGTATTGAAGAAAGAAATTTTAGGTATAATGTATTTGCGTATAGTATATTTCAGTAGATCGGTTGATTTTGTTAAATTTGTTAATATTATTATTATGAATAAATATCGAGTACATATATTTTATTATCTTTTCCAATTTTATCAATGTTCAAGAATTAATTTATCAACGATCTTTTCATTTCTCAAATAAATAATATCTTTCTTTAGATATCGTTTTGATTTATCAGAGGTACTCATCGACACAAATATTATTATTGTATTACATGACAGGAAATGTCACACAATTAATATTTTCTATATAATTGATAATTATTTAAACAGAAATATCTTTAGCGAAGACTCAAACCCTCACAGTAAAAATTCTACAAAAGAGCCACCTTGTAGTAAAATCACTTTACTAAAATGTAAGATACAAGGGAAAGAAAAGGAGTTTGTATGTACATATTTCTTGTGGTTTGTCACGTATTTTTTCAAAAATATATGATATTATTAAAAGAGAAAAATGAAATTCTCATACAGGGTAAGATACTAATTGCTTGGAAAATTATATACATAATATATTATTTTATTTTTGTGTTAAATCGTAAAGTTATATGTTTCGAGCATGTGATGTTTCTAACCTCTCTATGAAACTATTTCTATTTTTTATATATTTATTCAAAATTATAATAAATTCATTGATTTTAATCAATTTTGTTATGAATAATATACGTTGTTTAGAATTATGTAAAAGAAACAATGTACTTAAAGTATAAAAATATATGTAAAAATATTTTCTATTTTTCTGTTACAGTTTAGTAATTTACTTGGTACAGTCTACCATAAAGGAGACTTACTTTTTTCTCCAGATGGATTATCAGTTATTAGCCCTGTAGGAAATAGAATTACAATTTTTGATTTAAAAAAGTAAGTATAACTTAGTGAATATATATATCTAAAAACTTGAAAAAAATCTTTTAAAGTTTTATATGATATTTGTTAGAAAGTTTTATATACAAGAATAATTTTATTTTCAGCAATAAATCTATAACGCTTCCTGTGGAAAGCAGATTTAATTATGTGACTATAGATATATCACCAAATGGCAGTATGCTAATTGCAATTAATACAGGTAAAATTTGTTTCTGCATATGTGCATTTATTGTAGAAATTAAATTTATAACAGTATTTAGTAAGAATTTAAAGAATTTTTACAAAAGGTAGAAAACAACTTTATAACTTTATATTTGCAGATGGTGAAGCTCACATAATTAGTTTGATAAGTAAAGTTATTCTACATAAATATAGATTTAAAGGGCGTCCCAAGTGTGTGAAATTTTCCCCAGATGGAAAATATTTTGCAGTTTGCAAAGGAGGTGGTGGTATGTAATTCAAGTGCTATGTGCATGAAACTGTATTCATAGCACATAACTTTTGGAATCATTTAAAATAACATTTCTTTTTATGTTTCAGTTTTTGTTTTTAACGCACCAAGTTTACAAACAGGAAATTATAATCCGTTTATTCTGGAACGTTCATTTCATGGAGCTACCGCTGAAACTACATGCATTAATTGGTCTTTTGATTCAAAACTATTAGCAGTTGGTTCAAAGGATACTACTATAAAGATATATAGTTTACAAAAATATGCAAATCTTAGGTGGATTACATTGGGTGGTCACTCTGATGTTATAGTGGCATGTTTCTTTGAAAAGAAAGATTATGACATGTATACTATTAGCAAGTAAGTACAAAATAATTAAAATACTTATTAAGTTTAAATTGATAATTTTTTCACTATAATTGCCAATTTCACAAATAGTTTTATAATATTTCTAAAATATTTTGTATAAGCAAGTTATGCTGTTATAAACCTCGAGAGGGTTTCTTTTACAGAAATGGCCGACTTTTTGTGTGGGAATGCACGATTGATCCGGATGATTGGGTTGAATGGCAGCCACCTGCAAAAAAAGAAAAGTCTAATGATAGTGAAAGTGATAGTGAAGATGATATTGACATAGACAAGATTATAGAAAAAACAGAAAAGCAAAAGGCGCGTGCTGAACGTAAATTATTAGAATCAGGTGATGAATTTTTTTATATTAAAAGATGTAAAAATCTCTGAAGTCACCAGATGATAATTAAAAATGGTAGTAATTTAATCAACCAACTCTGGCTATTTAATAATCTTTATTTAATGATAGTTAATTGATAGTTAATTGTTTCACATTATATCATGTCACATATTAAAATCAGAAATTAAGTTTCTATATAGAAAGTTGTGTTTTAGCACTTGATAAGGGCCGAAACCCATGGCCGAAACGTCGTGAATATTAAATAAAGATTATTAAATAGCCAGAGTTGGTTGATTAAATTACTACCATTTTTTTTATATTATTTTATAAGATCTTTCAATTTTTCGTATTATTTATAAATTATATTGTAAGACTAAAAAAATATTTTACTTATAAAAATATGTATTTTAGATGATTTGCTGGAAAATGAAGAAGAAGAAGAGGATATTATAAAAGAAGAAAATATCCAAAAGACAAAAATTAAATTGCTAGGTTATAGAAAACAAGCTACTTTTTATTTGGAAAACGAAGTCCAGAAGCAGTATAAGGAAGCAAGGCTTACTGCAGCTGCTTATCATCAAGATACTCGTATAATGGTTGTAGGTTTTAATATAGGTTCATTTTATTTATACGAAATGCCGCACGCCAATTTGATTCATTCATTAAGGTATAGTAACATTTTAGTTGTATAAGAAAATAAATTTATATACACATATATTTACATACATTTATTATGCTAGAGATATATATTTAATAATACTAAATTGTTTTATTTTATATGGTTACAGTATTTCCCGACAACGTATCTCGTCAATAGCATTAAATTCTACTGGAGATTGGATAGCTATAGGATGTGCTCACGCTGGTCAGCTACTAGTTTGGGAATGGCAAAGCGAGACATATGCGATGAAACAGCAAGGACACAGAACCAATATGAACTGTCTTGCGTACAGTCCCGATGGCCAATATATCATAACAGGCGGCGACGACGGAAAAGTCAAACTATGGAATACGCTGACCGGATTTTGCACGCTCACGTTTCACGAACACGCCTCGTCGATATCTGGCGTGTTGTTCAGCCACAATCGTAAATTCGTCGCTTCCGCCTCATTGGACGGAACGGTACGTGCTTACGATCTAGCGAGATACAGGAACTTTCGAACTCTTACGTCGCCACGGCCGGTGCAATTCTCTTGCTTGGCGATCGACAGGAGTGATGAATTTATCGCGGCGGGTGGTCAAGATTTCTTTGATGTGTATCTGTGGAGCATGAAACTCGGGACTCTTTTAGAGGTACGCATATATAATTTTGACAAACGCATATACAATTTCGACAATTTTTGTCGATATTATGAATCATTGATAATACACATTAAAATATACTTTAAAACTGATTAATATAATTTTATAAAATAGGTATATTAAAATATACTTAAAATATATTTTAGATATTAAGCGGTCACGAGGGACCTGTTGCAAGCTTGGCGTTCAATCCCAATCCTGCTAGTACGGAACTGGTATCTGCGTCCTGGGATAAGACGGTGAAAATATGGAATGCCATCGAGAACGGTTCCGCGCACGAGACTATACGATTAATCGCTGATGCCTTGTGCGTGACTTATAAACCAAACGGGGAAGAGATTGCTGTCGCTACATTAGACGGACAGATTACGTTTTTCGAGTGTAAAACGGCAAGACAAACGGGTTTCATCGAGGGTAGAAACGATTTAGGCGCCGGTAGATCTAAAACAGACCTTATTACAGCAAAGAAAAATTTGCAGGGCAAGTAAGTAGTTTGATGTAAGAAACATTATCCATATCAAATAATGTTTTAATTGATTATTAAATATTTATATTTATTTTTTCAGAGCCTTCACTACTTTATGTTATTCGGCCGATGGTACATGTATATTAGCCGGTGGTCGTTCCAAGAACGTGTGTATTTATAATGTTCAAGAGTCAATATTATTGAAAAAATATGAAATCACTCAGAATAGATCTCTGGATGGTGTGGATGTAAGGAACAATTTCTTTTTTTTTTTTATTTAAATTTGCAATTAATCGCAAAAAATAATACTATTTATTTGTATCTAATTTTTATAATGCTAATCGTTTTATTTCTATTCTGGCAGGATGTTATAAACAGGAAATATATGTCTGAATTTGGAAATAGAGCTTTAATTGAGTATCGTGAAGGCGGAAACATATCGTTACGATTACCAGGTGTTAGGAGTGGTGATAAGGCAAGCAGGAGAGTCAAACCGGAAGTGAGAGTACTTTGCTTACAATTTTCTCCTACAGGTAAAAATAAATAATTGTCAATTTTTGTGAAGTTAACGTAATCAATTTAATTATAAAATTTATTGTATGAAAAAATATTTTAAAAGTCGCATGTTATTATGGAGAGCATATGATACAATAGTCAGTTTTATGCTATTTTACGCTATTTTGTTTTGTTTATTGAGAGTTTCAAATATTTTTTCATACAATGAATAATTTACTAATAATTTAAAGTGGTCAAATTAAATGACTTACTCTATATTTATGTGAAATAGGACAAGCATGGGCTGCAGCAACAACGGAAGGTTTATTGATATACTCTTTAGATATTGGATTGATATTCGATCCATTTCAATTGGAGCTTGGAGTTACTCCGGATACTGTAAAAGAAACACTTAACGAACGCGAGTATGCAAAAGGTATACATCTTTATACTAGAATTAATAATAATAAAATAAACGAATATGCATGCAGGTATGTTAATAATATGTTAAACGCGCAATATACTCTTCTTTTAGCATTAATGATGGCACTGAAACTAAACGAGAAGCTATTAACACAACAAGTTATAGAAGCTATTCCATACAATGAAAGTAAGAGTTTATCTTTATAAGAGTACACATACACATCTTTAATTAAACATACTAATAATTTTATCAATTTTATATATAATTATTTTATTATTCGAACAATTATATATATATATATATATATATATATATATATAAACTATTTTTATTATATTACAGTTGAATTAACGACGACGAGTATGCCAGACATTTACGTAGAAAAGTTATTGAAATTTATAGCGTCCGAACTGGAATCAACTAGACATATACATTTCTATCTTCTATGGATAGAAACAATTCTTACAAAACACGGATTGCGAATTAATACTGCACTTCAAATGCCGGTATTATTGATGCTACATAAGAATATGCAGAAGAAATATGACGATTTGAGTAGAATGTAAGTTTATACTATATTTTCTTGACTGTAATAACATATATTACTATAAATTGGAAAATAATTGGAAATATTATTCTCTTTTCTTACAGATGTGATTTTAATCAATACACATTAAGCTACATACTGAGATTAGGAGAATTAAAATCTGCGAAAAATAAATCGAAACATTTCGCTATCAAGATAGATAACGAATCTTTCTCCGATGCTTCCATAGAAGAAATGGATACCAATTGAATTTTAAATTAAATTTCATAGAACGAAGAAAATAATACAAAATTGTAAAAAAAAAAAAAAAAATACAAATGCCGAACAAGATTCCATCTCTAAAAATTTTTAATATATTTCTAATTTAATTGATTCACGTATCTCAATAGATACGAAAGAAATTTTAATTATGGATTGCATGTAAAGCAAGATTTATAATCGAAATTTGCATCGTTTATTTGATTACGGCGCCTTTTTAAGCAATACTATCGGCCAGTATGAAACAACAAAAAATAGAAAGAGTATAGGAAATACAATTCTGCTATAGCAATCTATTTTCTCAGAGCGAGTTTTACGCGTCTGCGTCGTCTGACATCCCGGATTTGGCGTCCACAGGGTTGGTAGGAGATGTCGACCACTTCGTTTATTTGTCGGTTTAATCTTGTAAATAAACTCATCATCCCAGATACTCTGTCCTTTACACATCGTCGTTAATCGCTAAAAATAAATAATTAATATTCAACAAAGATGAGATGCAATTAATAAAATGATCCGATGAGACTGAATTTCGAACCGAAGGAGATCCTGTGGAACTTTGCGAATCATTCTCGGCGTCGAGCACCTTAACGACGACGAATTCACCCAACGCCGCAAACACGAACATCATGCAGCCGGCCATCCAGACGTCCAGTGCCTACATAAGCAAGCTCTTACAAATTTTCGTATAAAAGAAAACAAATACGAAGGCGTGCCCTACATTATATGGACAGCTTGAAGATGAGACTGTTGGAGTACATTTGCAAACTTACTTTAATGTATGCTACTGGCGGAATGTCGCTCTTGAGTCCGGTGAACATCGTTACCAGTGTTAGCATACTCGTGACCAGAAGAGCCACTCGACCAGGAATCGCGTCCAAGCCCAGCCAGAAGCTGAACCAAGAGAGCATCACTACCAGAGTCGAGGGCGCGAATGTCTGTATCAAGTGGTGACCGATCTGTCTCTCGAACCGAAAGAAGACTACTAATCGTGAGAAATTTCCTACGGAAATTATCTTTCAAGTTTACATTGCTCTTTCTCGTTGCACGCGTAAGTAATTTTCTTCATTTCGTATATATAATATAACATATTTTATATATTTATATATTTTATATATAATATTTAAAATAATATATAATAAAATAAAATATATAAATATTTTATATATAATTATATATTTATGTATATTTGATTTTATATGAACTTTTTTTGGATGGATTTTAAAAGTTTGATTTAATATAGTAAAACGTATACAATGAAATTGAAAATAATTGGGTCGCAAATTTTTTATATATCGAAGTTTTATATTTAAATTAATAAATATTAAATAAAGATTAAATTTTTTTTACATATATACCATTTTTTTCGAGCATGTAATCTATGGTTTCTTCGAGTACCGCAGGTTTCCCGATGTCATATTGCAAAAGCTTCAATTCGGGATTCACCGTAACACCACCCACGCCCCACTTTAAGCGCAACTTCTTCTGATTGTAGGAAACTGTGACAAATAATCCGGATTGTCACGAGTGAACAAATTCACGAGAACATATATTCATGTTTTTTTCTCTTGTACTTTTTTGTCCTCCATTTTAAAAAGATAGATCTATAAGTAAAGTAGTACAATACCTATATTCCAAAAAGATATAACTTTTTCCCAAGAGAAATGTTAAATTTAAAAATTACAAATAGGTATTAAACTAAATTAAATATTACATTAAAATTAAAAGTATTAAATTAAGATATAAATACTGAATTAAAAATGGTACTTTATATAAAAATATGTGTGAAATTTACATCATCATTGATCACTTTTCATTTATACGCATATTTATAAAGCTTACAGCTCTCTATGTAAATTGGACAAATTTGAATATCCATTGGATATAATTGAAATTCCATCTGACAGGCGACAATGGCATTAATTCGTGCAGAATACTTAACGGTTTTATTTCGATATAATGTGACTAATGAGAATTTATGGTTCAAAGTCGCAATCTCTGAAAAATTATTACTATGAAATAATTTATATTTCCAATCACAGATAATCTGTTTTTTTTTTTTTTTTTTTTTTCATTTGCTATGTTACCGGAAACTTTTGAATTCAAAAAATATGGATCCGGTTGCCAAAGATTGTCAAAGATTTCTGGTGGAAGTATCATATAATCATCGTCTTCTTCAAAAATATCTTGAAGCAAGTCTAATCGAGATTCTGTCCAACTTTGACTGACGAACATGTCCACACTATGAATATATTTATAATATTTTTTTTATTTCTATTTAATTATATAGATTTTATATTTTAATGAAAAAACATATAATATAATTTTATTTAATTTTAAAAAATTGTGTAGCAATTGAATTTACCGAAAATCCATATCTTCAACGTTGATAGAATTAATGTCAACTACTAAAATATTAAAGTCTACTATTATAGGTACACCTTTTTCGGATGGCGGTCTAATTTCTGCAACAATAAAATTTTATTTTTTTATATATATTATATATATATTATTTTTATATATATTATATATAACATTTTTTATATACAAATATTATATATATTATTGTCTGTTAGAAACGCGCTATAAGCTGCACTTTACCTTTGACGTAACGTTCTGGCAGAAATAGCTTTGACGTCATAGTGCAATTGTTGACATTCTCGTTGAATGAGCTGTGAAAAATGTTATGGTATTGAAATTTTTTGCTTGTGAATGTTTGTTAACTCAATTTGCTCGTTCATCATTGTCGGCGCGCGCGTTCATTGCTATTTAAATTATTGTATTATATATCTATTATTGACTCTTAGAAAATTCTCGAAAAAATTAAATATAAAAAAATATTTCTTATTATTGCAATACGATTTTATATATTTATTATATATCATCAAGATAGAATCGCGATGTTTATCTTTCCGTTAGGTAACACTTATTTGATCGCGCATGAGAGAGAGAGAGAAAGAGAAGTTGTTAACGAGTGAGATAGGTTTGTATCTATTTGCAGACACAGATGTGTTTGTTATCTGTTGAAAAACATAGGAACGATAAGTTAAAAAATTTATCTTTTTACAAGAAACTTGCGAAAGTCTAAGTACATGCGTACTTGTTGTTAAAATAAATTAATATAAATAATATTACATAAGTATAAATAAGCTCAACCATTATGAAGTTTAAGTTAGGTAAAATAATGTTAAATTTTCTGCTGATTTCAAAAATTATAAATTGTTTATGCAATGTATATTAAAATTGCAATTCTTGCAATTTCTTTTTATAATATAAATTTTCGCTGAGTTATATTTTGTCTAAATTTTTTGTCAACTTGTGTCAAATTTATTTTGTGCTTATTTTTATTTACTTGTCCAATTAAAAGTATATATAATTAAAAAAAATATAAAAAAACTATTAATCTCGGCTCGAATTATTGTGTTACAATAAAAATAAAATCTCGACGGCAATCGGAGCCTATGCGGATGACATGCACAAAATTAATAAATTAAAATGAGATCTCAAGTCAAACTCATTTATTAAATTCTAAACGTTTCGACCCACTTCGGGTCTTCTTCAGTAGCTGCAAAATACAAAGAAACAAAAATAGAAGATAATCGGTACAATCAGAAAATTATAAAACTCGTATACATACAATCCGCAAATAAATTAAATATCATTCTCCTCCCTATTCAAACCGTCCGGCCGTCGGAGTGTCTCCCTAACGGTGAATTAAAAAAAAAACCAAACTATAAATTCCAAAATAAATCTGACACATACAAATGAGCAAAAATCATTAATTGAAAATAATGCAGCGCAAATTTACGTCACAATAAGAAATTGCTACAATCTTGTATGTGTGTGTCAAAATCACTTGAAACTTTCTTTTCTCTATATCTCAAGCGCAAAATTACTCGCACACGTTTTGCTACATCGTTTTTCGAAAGCGATAAAAGACACGGCGTCATTTTGTCGCGCTGTGCGTAATGAGGCAAAAATGACGTTTAAAGGAGTACGAAGTCATTTACCTCGAGGAACACACTTCCGGGAGAGAATTCCAGCACAGGTGAAGCAGAACTACTAGAAGTGTGTCCTTCATCGTAGCTGGACGTCGTGGTCAACTGAAGTCTTCAGCATCCTTTGTCATCGCGCGGTGCGCGAGACAATTAATCAATCAACTGTCATTTATGCGCGATCTAGTCCAATTGCGAATATCATTATTCGCTTATACTTGTCGTGGCAATTATGCTTTACACGAATTGCGTAACGATTTATCTATCTAGGCGTAGGTACGTTATTTACATATCGTGCGCGCTCGCTCGCTCGCTGCGCCTACAAAAGATATTTGCCGTGCCATTCTGATTTTTAACACCGAATTGCTAATGAGATTTATCGACAATCCTTGCGATTGCAGCTGCAATTCCAAAACACACGCGCCGTTCTTCCGTTTGTGTATTTTCGTATGCTTTACAGGTACTTTATTAATGCGACTCTAATTACACTGTAATTTTTAAACAGAAAACTATAGAAAGAAGAATCCAAGAAAATCATTTCTTGCACAATCTTCTTTTTATGATATATTTTAATTTTAGTCTTAGAAATATCACAAGTGTTTTTCGAAATTAAAATTGTAAGAAAGTTATTTTTTTATTACGTTAGGTATATACAGCTGTAATATTCAAAAGGGCTAAAAAATAGTATTTTATTCAAAATCGAAGTACGTATATTAGCATTTTTATCTCTCCAAAGGAATTTGTGAAAGTAATTGTACGATTGAAATTAATAATGGATTTTCTCTCTTATAATATAATTATCTATAGCTGCATGTTGAATCCGTCAAATTATATTTGGCAATTTTAATATTTGATTCATACTCAATCTAATCTGAGAAATTTTGCACACATTTTATACGCAAAAATTCGAAAATTCGTTGACTTTAAATTTGTTAATTTCGACATTAAATTGTACATCTGAAAATCCTTCAATTTCAGCGAATCACAGTTGAAAAATTTGTGTTAAATTTAACGAATTGCGCATGTCCCAAATGGTCCACAGAAATTTTTGTGTGAATTATAATATGAATGTGTTAAGTGGAGACACGAATACTGTGTTAATATTTTAACACAAAATAAATGCAAAACTTTACGTAATTTAAAATAAGTTTTGTGTAAAATTAACATAGACGCACATTGTGTTATATCTTTACATCTTTTTTCATAATTCTAATTTTAATAATTCAATTAACACAAAAACAACATAAAATTAAATTAACACACGAACGTGTTAACTATATTTAACATAAAAATTTCGACGAGGACCATCTTTAACAAGAAAACCCAAATTTCCCAACTGTGCGATAATGATTGAAAAATGTTGGATGAATTATTGCCTCTCAATTTTTTTTTGTAATTTACAACCTTACAATATACTTTTACATCTCCCTTCGTGTAATTATACTCGAGCGTGGTTTTATAAACAGTTAGATATAGGTATAGACGTGTTTATCGTTCGATAGACGGTGCCGTTCTCGAGAGGAGAAAATCTATGCGAGGAGACGGAGGGAAAGAGAAAGGTGAGAGTGAGAGTGGGTCAGTATAAGCGTCTGGTCTGGCTACGGATAGCCGGTCCCGATGCAAGGCTTCGCAAATGAAGCGAGGAGGAAGCGCCGAGATTGCGATTCGCTACGGTATACGCGTCTTCTTCCCTTTCCTTCTGCCAGCATCCCGAGCAACGGTACCGTCCATTTAGACGTCACGTCGCGTGTCTAAAGCCCGACCTCGATCGTCGGCCTCGATGGGATAAAATTTCGTTCTTCCTCTTTATTCATCTCTTTCCTCCTCAAGGACATAGACGATAGCCTGGGAAAGGGAAGCGACACCCTTTCTTTGGATTCTCTTCTTGGAGGCTGAAAAACATGACCTCTCCTCAATTGTGCATTTTTACATCAAAATATCAAAGAGTGAAATATAAGACAATAGAACGTATGTATAATATTTAGATGAGAGAGAAAGTATTTTTGCATTTTTTCAGAGATAATTGCGCGAAAAGAAGGAAGAAGTATCGCTGCGAAAGATGTTTCCATCAGGGAGAACGTGTAGCGTTTTCGTTTACATTGGCAACTCGAATAAATTGTTTTTATGTAACGGTAGTTTTTTTCTATCTTCTAAAAGTAGGATATGTAAATACATTTTTTACATACTGTTTTTTAGAGATAATTTTATTTTCGAAATTTCGCGTCCAGCTTCAGAAATCTGTACTCCTTATCTGTACTCCTTGCTCTTTTTTTGATATATTTTTGTCAATTTTTGAAGCTTTCAGTCGCATCCTCGATACTTGTAATTGGTGTGAACAGTTGATGAGTCGTTCTTAATAAGCGGGTGGTCCCAAACTTTCCCGTTTGAATCATTACCTGTCAAAAAGAACCGGTCGACGTGGTCACGTTTTTTTTGTCGAGAAGCTTTAAAGAAGAACCCTGTTATTAAATCCAAAAAGTATTTCAGATATGTGTCATACAAATTAGTTTAAATTTGCTGAGAGAGAGTCTTCATGTTTATTTTTTTCAAAAGCAAAATTAAAATTAATTCAATTTCGTTTGACTTAAACAATTCGATTTCTTTATATAGCTTTGAATCACAATTTTTAATATTTGTCAATTTTCTCATGTTTATAGATTCCAGAAGATTTCGATAGATTGAATTGACATAAAAATTGAGCTTTTATTAAATAAACAGTTTTTCTACTTAGAGTTTTAAAAGGAAAATAGGCTGAGAACTGAGATCGAAAGTAGAAGAAAAATCTCGACTCGAGTCAACGATCGCTACTTAAAATGTCAGAAAAATAATCATTTTCTTTGATCACTGTAATATACTATATATTCAACTTCAAAGAGCCTGATTACTGTTATCATTGAAAAGGATGTCGTAGGCGGATCGGCAGTAAATCGGACACTAGGTGAAGTGATGAAAAAGACAAAAATCTACACATAGAAAGCTGTTGCGCATATCTACATTTTCTTGAACCATCGTCCCCGTTATTCCGCCTCCAACGTTTAAGGTATTTTAACACGCCTCCGATTTATTCCTGAAAGGAAAAGATTTCACAAATGAGACTTCATTTGGAGAACTAATTCGACAGGAGATAGACATGAGTTTTGTAAATATAAAAAGTGAAAAGGTTGACGATTATTGACGATTTACTGACAGTTACGTGATCGATGAGCGGCTTTATACACTCGACGAGTCGGAAACTTATACAATTTTTTTCGATGACGCGCAAAAGTGATCCTAATTTATTCCCGACGAGATAAAAAAATCTCAAAATAATAGGAGATCGAACTCGGCAAATTCCCTCGACGAAATTCCATATATAGATATATATATATATATATATATATATATATATATACATATATATGTATACATACAATGCAAGCTCCCCTTAAGGGTTGTATTGATTTCTATGATGGCGGCCGGCCGGCGCCTGCACTCTCGGCGATCGCAGGAAAAGCCAGGAGTAAAACATCGCTCCTTCGTGGTTTTCTCGGAGAGCCGCGACAAGGAAAGCTCGATGTCGCGAGTGTGAAAGCTAATTGTCGGCGGCGAAAACGACGACGTGTGTGCGCGAGTCTGCGTATGTGTCTTACTCTCGATTCTCGCGAGGAAATTTTATATCGAGGGGCCTGTCGTTTGTCATCGTCGACGACGGACGATGGTGAACGTTGAACGTCGAGCGAAACCCGCTACACCGCCGTATATATGCCTGATTATTGTGAGATCACTCGGTTAAGACCGGCCGGCGAGCTCTGGCGCTGTGTATATAGTTATGCAGATGGATCCTTTCTCGAATGAGAGAGTCGCGAATTAATATAGGATTCCCGTACGCTGCAATTGCACCGCCGCGGTTGCACCGTCGTCGAGGATTATTTCGCTTCGAGGCGGAGGGTCGCGCGTGACCGACCTTCGGATTATTCGCCGTAGATCACGGATAGGAGAAATCAGCGGAGAGCAACGGATACTCTTGGGTAAGAAATTTGCCAGACCGGTTTAGCCGTGTAACATGTTCGGCAAGAGTTTGTGCATGCCGCATAGAAGGTATGTCGATTACGGTCGAGGTTGTGCTCAGATGATTTTTCATTTAGCTAGATAAAGATGAGATCCGAATATATTGCACATTTTGTTTTCGATATTTCGAGATAAAATTATATATATGGCGATTCATCTAGATAATTTTCAGATCATATTTTTAACTGCTTTTGTAAACAGTTACAAATAACAAATGGAAATTGTAAAAGGGACATACAAATATATTCATTGCTTAAATTCTACTACTCAAGTATTTTATTTATGTGCTATGAAGAATCATGCCAAATTATTTGCACATTATTCTAGATAATTTAGTAAAGATAATACTTTTTTTATTTAAGATATCAAAGTTTTATTTAGATGATCATTTATATAATTTGATTTAGATAACAGCAAACACTGATTATAGTGTACGGTTACAGTTTCGTTAACGTAAAACTCGTTTGGATTCAAGGGTGAACAACCCTCTATAATAAATTAAATTGGACATTAAAATTGTAGAAAATAAATTTCTCTGCAAGTCTGATATTTATTAGATGTCGTCTGTGAAGAATTTTATTTTTTTTTGTTTTAAACAGCGTAATCCAATGCGACGTATCTTTTATTCTTAATAGCATATCAATCTATAATAGATTATTGCTATAATAGAATTAGAAAAATAATTATTTTAATAGCATGTTTTTCCACAAAAAGACTCTATACTATATTCTCGATGTTCATAATTATATCTCATTATTGCCTCGCATAATAAAAATAATTTTTGGTAACAATTATAATGTACAATATTTGACATATCCATTGATTTCACATTTTGTATGTAATCAAACTCAGCTCTTTGTATAACCTTTGGTGATGCAAATTATGAAGTCCGATTTATATTTTACCCCTATCGCGAAAAACTGTCGCTGATGTTCATTCAGGGCAAATGATTCATTCGTAACTCTGGAGAAAGCTTACGCACGAAAATGAACGAAAACGCACGATTCTCTCGTTACATTATACGGACCCGCATCGCATCTCGTATGTTAATTAAATTCCCGTTCAATTTGAATATTAATTGAATTTTGACATGAAAATGTTCGCGCGGTTATTCAACCGTAATTGCATATATAAAAGGCTATATGCTTATGTACGTACATACGTACACACCTGTCACTTGTCACTTGTCCGCGAATGGCTCGCGTCGAAGTCGTCTGTATAGTTTACGCTCTATCGACCAACTTGCAGCCCCTTTCGTCACTTGTGTTCATGCGTCTTACTTTTAATATCTCGGTCATCGACTCACGTGACTGCGGGCTGTAGATTTGTTCGATTCGACGAGTATTGCATATTCCAAGAGTAATGATACAAAATAGCCTTGTGGATCTTTAATCGCGCCACTTATACGTATATTATACACGTATATTTATTATCCCATACGCCATACAGCACAACAAGATTGCAGCAGCATTGTGGCAATATTTCATTGCAATATTACAACATTGCATAAACATTGTAAAATGTTGCAGCAATCTTGCTGCAAGGTTGCAGCAACGGTAAAATGTCCGCTTTCAGAAATATTGTTCTATGACATTGCAGCAATAATGCAATAAAATATATATATGTAATATTACTATTGGATTATTGCAAATGTGCCAAATACATGATTGGACGGAATGTTCTGTACCTAATATTTTTTGCGTGAATTTTATTTTCATAATATTTCTGCAATATTGTTATGCAATATACAATATTGCAATGTTGCTGCAATATTGCTGCAAACTTGTGTGCTGTATGGGATTATATTTAAAGCGTATATAAATTGTGGGAAGAAAATAAAATAGAAATATAAGAACGATCAATATATACATATATACAACCAATCAGTAATGATTCGCAAAACGAAGCGTGCTTTGCATCCTGATGATCGACGATCTTGAACAAAGGAATTACGACTCGCGCTCGATTGAGGCCGCGCATATTCGGTAATTCGTAGAAACAATTTTCTTATTTAATATGCTGTTCGAGACACGAAGCAGAGTCCGAACTGCCCGTCATTTCGCGACGTTTAATGAGATGACACAAAATGTTCAAACGCGGTCAAACGCGTACTTAGTCATGTGACATATGTGACAGTAGAAAGCATCACAATAATTCAGGCAGTTCAGGATTAAAGCGACTTACGTCCACCCATGCACGACCGCGATTCGACTAACGAACCTGACGCGATATAAAAGAGCTCGTCGTGTTTAGATTTGATAAGTGTAAATAGAGCCTCCTTCGATGTCGAATTTTTTTCATAATCTCAAAATAAAAAGACGCTTTCATATCGAATGCGCGCACTTTCGTCGAAGGAATCCCTTGGAATTGATCGGCGCAAATATTACGCCACTAATGTCACTGCAAATCTCGAGGCGAGAAAAGGCCATTCTTCATATCGATTTTATCTCAGGAAATGTTACTTTCGCTTGCTTCTTCCTCTGCTAGATCCACCGGACATACCAGTGTGCAGCGGAGAAATCACTGTAGGAAAACAAATGCGATATGATAGGCGTATTACGAGATCAATGCTCTTCTAGCGATCGAAAAACTTACGATTCTACAATACTATATTCTTCATATTTATTTACATTAAACCGACAATTATATCTCGTTATGGTCTCGCGTAATAAATTAATTTTTTTTATTGCAATAAAAATATCGGGAAATAAATAACAATTAAAATGTATCTCACATTTCATACGCAATAAATAATTTTTATAATTTTTTCAGATATATAAAATAAATAGATCAGATATATAGAATAAATAGAAAGAGGTGATAATTAAATTACAGATTGATTTTCGTTTCTCTAAACAATTTTTAATTGTATTTCGAATCTCAAATATTAATCGGTAAATATTATTAGAAACTTTAATGAAACATTTCTCAATAAACACCTTATCCCAGTGAACAGCTGAGAAATGAGAAAATCGCACGCGTTATAAAATGTCAGTCGCGCGACTGATATTTGTACTTCTATCAAGGAAAGTTGCGCTGATGCAAAAAGATCCAGTCGCATCACGGGCGTATGCACATCGGGCCTAGACATTGACCTCGAAAGTGAGGTGATCATGGCCAACGTTAGAGACATATCGAAGAAAGTGCGCCAGCCTCCAACCGGTTTGCCGTCTTACGTATATCATTGAATCGAAACGCGATTTTTTTCTTCCTTTCTTTGCAAAGCGATTAACCAGTTAATGATGTCATATGGCTAATGTTACAACTATATAGAAGAGGACTATGTGAAAATTTTGGGCAAAACGCGTGACTAATGCATAGTTTTTTAATTTACGAATTTAGAACTGGAGATTCTCTCTCCAGAATTTCCCTGAGCAAAGTTTATGTAACTGAAATGATACGAAGCTATAATAGTAACAGAATGTATAAACAAATGTAAAATGTATTAATTAATTGAATTACTTTGTTTCATTTAAAAAATAATTGATATCTTTATTATATTATTTTTTTTAGTATTGTATTATTATTTATGATTTATTATGTTACTATTTTTATTTATACTTATTATATTTTTTATTTACTGATTTGTAATTTATTCATCATTACTTTTTTTATTCGTGGAAAAGAGAATTTGTGTCCAAAAATTAATGGATTTGAATTACAATAGTGCTTTCGCGAAGGAAGAAAATACATGTATATTAATTAAATTTGTAACTTTTTCTAAACAATGGAATAACATGTGACTGTAACAGAAGTTGCAGACGCTTTTCGGAGAAGCTGTTTTCGTCATTAACATTCCCGATTGGCGGAAATGCAAAAAGAAAAGGAGAAGAAATGGTCAATTAGAGAAATTCTAATAAAAATCAATCGCTTTCACCCTATCATTTATATCGGTTTAATTTTTTTTCTTCGACCGTCTACGCGAACGTTGTGCTGTTATCTGTGATTTGGATAATTGCATCCATTTCCCGGACTAGGGTCGAAGAGAGTAAGATTACGGATATTGCGCGCATTACAGTATCTGTGGTTTACGTAGAAAGCGAAACTTAATAACTTCAAATATGGCACAAACATATATATATATATGTATATGTATATACATATATGAAACTAGCAGTGAAACCGATCATCAGGTCAATATTACCTCTCTACAATCTCGAACGATACATGCTTTGCGAACGTGAGACTATCCATATATGTATATATACAGGGTGTTTCATAAGTGATGGGCAAAATTTCAGGAATGGGTTCTTTATATGCTGAGAGAAGAAAAAAATTATAACATAGGTCCGGAAAAGATTAGTTTTTGAGTTATTAAGATTTATGTAATACAACATTTTTGTCTTATTTCTCGTCTTACAATTAGAGCAAACGTGTAATATGTCCATCTCCTGTAAACATAGGTCGGCAAACTTGAAAAACATCGTTGATGTTTTTAAACGAACTTCTAAGACGAGAAATGAGACAAAAATTTAGTGTTACAGAAATTTTAATGACTCAAAAACTAATAATTTCTGAATCTATGTTAATATAAATTTTTTTTCTTTTCTAAGCATGAGGAATCTATTTCTGAAATTTTGCCCATCACTTATGAAACACTCTCTATATTATACACAGCATTATACACATGCAATACATAGTAATTTTCATAGTCCTTCACTTTTCGTTCTCTATTAATGTGTTGGAAAAATGCATCTTCTTTCCAGTTTAATAAACGTATGTTATTATAAATTTTTAAAACTAAATAAAATTTATATATAAATTTTATATATTATTTTACAGTTATAAATATCAATTATTTAACTCTATAATTTATATATAATTTTATATTTATATATAAAATATAAAGTATAATTATAAGATTCTCTTGTATGAAATTAGATATATAACATGAAATTCTATATTATTCCATTATATGTATATATTTATATATAAAAGATTATATGTAATATAATAGCTT